GATCTCCGAAGAGACCATTTAGACTGGCCCTAACTGTTTTATAATAAAAATTCTTGACACAAACATGTCAGCAGTGCAACTGCCATATTCGGTTTAATAATATTTGCAAGCAAATTCTAATATTTTTAGGAGTGAACAAATGCGAAGAAATTCCATGATAAATAAGCCTTTCTTATGAAAGAAAGGCATGAATAAAGATGAAGAAGTACGTGAGAACGAATGGGAGGGGGAACATTCAAGTTGAATGAATTTCAGAAGAAATGCATGAATAAAGATGGAAAATGAATCACAACGAAAGAGTTAAATTTACATGTTATATAATTTTGTCTATTGAGGGAGGGCTGCTCACGCTGTATATGCCATCCTTCTTTGATATTTCGTTGATAAAGGGTATTAGCAGAACATACTATTTTGTAGCAGCACTCGTACAAACATTTATGAAAACTATAAGTGCTTAAAAATATGCGAATATTTGTCCGCTTTTAAATGTTCGTTTAAAAGGGCGTTTTGTAAAATGGTGATCAGTAGCTTCCGCAAGTAATTTTTTTATATTACGCCCTAACGAACATCAACGGGAAGGAGATCTTTAACTGAAAACAGACATTGATTTTTTAATGATGTAAGAATGAACATAATATCTAAATCATTAGGCCTACAAATGTCTGTATTTAATGAAGTAATTTTTGAACTATCTTGCTAAACGGTCCAATTTACGGTCACAAAGCGAATATTGGGTTTAGGGTCATTATTTGATTCATTCCGTTAAATGGAAAATACAGAAACATAGATATTTTGAAATAATTTTGTCAATTAAACTAGGATACATATTTGTTCTTAAAAAACAAAGATCTAATGTCTTTATGAAACGCAGGTCAGCTAATGTTGATGCTGCATGTTCTATACCGGGGTAGACAAGGGCTATCTTAGAAGAAAAAAAATGAAAATTAGTGAAGTCCAGAAAATGTGTTTTTTTTCCCTAAATACAGATGTATGTGAATAGTTACTATTTTCAGATTTTGAAATGAACATGTCAAGCTTATTCTCCACTTCCTTTTCCATAAGCCTATAGTTAATTCAATATTTTTTGTGAAATTTTGTGGAACTAAGAACATTTAATAAGTATTAATCATATTCCTGTCTCTTATACACATCTAGATGTGTATAAGAGACAGATATATATCAGAATTCGAATCCGGCACTTTCTGCTGTCTATGCAGACGTATCAAGCAAATTGGCCTCTTTGTGAAATCTTGATTGCAGCAACTGATAAGTCCTAAAAAATGGTTTGTTTGCTGTCACATTGTAAGTATTATATGAAGGGGCGGGCGGAATCTTTGTTTTCCTAAAGAAAGATTACCAAAACGGTCTGTATGGAGGTTTGTTGAAGATGAGGGGTGGGATAATTTTTTTTTAAATGTAGAAACTGAACATATGTACACTAGTCTCCTTGCAATTTTGGGCTAATATTTTTGTGGTTTGGGATTGGAAGAGGGATCTTTAACTGGAGTAAGACACGTGATTGAAATAAACTATTGTACTATGTATCAGGTCAAGTTCACCAGCTTGTAAAACCAAAATCGTGTCGAAAATTTTTTTTTAACTTAAAAAAAAAACTTTTAAGAAAAAAAAAACCTCGCCCCTCATTTTTCGGATTTTAGGGGCGTCGGAGGACGGCAAACAAACAAGTTTTTTTTTTTTTTTTTTTTTTTTTTTTTAATGATAATTCACGCTTATTTGCGCTGCGTAGTAGAACAGCACTAGTTCTCGGTGCGAAGAGTGCAATGATCCACCCTCATCGTATTTGAATGACAAGACGGGATCTCCGAAGAGACCATTTAGACTGGCCCTAACTGTTTTATAATAAAAATTCTTGACACAAACATGTCAGCAGTGCAACTGCCATATTCGGTTTAATAATATTTGCAAGCAAATTCTAATATTTTTAGGAGTGAACAAATGCGAAGAAATTCCATGATAAATAAGCCTTTCTTATGAAAGAAAGGCATGAATAAAGATGAAGAAGTACGTGAGAACGAATGGGAGGGGGAACATTCAAGTTGAATGAATTTCAGAAGAAATGCATGAATAAAGATGGAAAATGAATCACAACGAAAGAGTTAAATTTACATGTTATATAATTTTGTCTATTGAGGGAGGGCTGCTCACGCTGTATATGCCATCCTTCTTTGATATTTCGTTGATAAAGGGTATTAGCAGAACATACTATTTTGTAGCAGCACTCGTACAAACATTTATGAAAACTATAAGTGCTTAAAAATATGCGAATATTTGTCCGCTTTTAAATGTTCGTTTAAAAGGGCGTTTTGTAAAATGGTGATCAGTAGCTTCCGCAAGTAATTTTTTTATATTACGCCCTAACGAACATCAACGGGAAGGAGATCTTTAACTGAAAACAGACATTGATTTTTTAATGATGTAAGAATGAACATAATATCTAAATCATTAGGCCTACAAATGTCTGTATTTAATGAAGTAATTTTTGAACTATCTTGCTAAACGGTCCAATTTACGGTCACAAAGCGAATATTGGGTTTAGGGTCATTATTTGATTCATTCCGTTAAATGGAAAATACAGAAACATAGATATTTTGAAATAATTTTGTCAATTAAACTAGGATACATATTTGTTCTTAAAAAACAAAGATCTAATGTCTTTATGAAACGCAGGTCAGCTAATGTTGATGCTGCATGTTCTATACCGGGGTAGACAAGGGCTATCTTAGAAGAAAAAAAATGAAAATTAGTGAAGTCCAGAAAATGTGTTTTTTTTCCCTAAATACAGATGTATGTGAATAGTTACTATTTTCAGATTTTGAAATGAACATGTCAAGCTTATTCTCCACTTCCTTTTCCATAAGCCTATAGTTAATTCAATATTTTTTGTGAAATTTTGTGGAACTAAGAACATTTAATAAGTATTAATCATATTCTGAATGAAATAAACAAAATGTATCGTCAACATAACGTTGGTAAAACAATACTTTACAATCATTAGTTTAGCTGACTCTGTTCATGGTGCCCCATTAAAGATTAGCAAGCACTGGAGCAAGTTGTGACCCCATAGCCATTAATATATGATCATAGAACGAGCCTTTAAACATGAAAGAGTTTGTGAAGGAGCGAATAAAACATTTTCTTAAGGTTTTGTTTATTTATATGAAGTGAGTTATTATCCATAATGCGAGATCAGTTGATATTAAGGGGACACTTAATTTTTTTTCCGTATTATCAAAACAATTACAGCAGTGTCAAAATAAACTTTCCTACTTTTTTGCGCTCGCTTAAATCGCATGTCTTATGTTATAGCCACTCCGCTTAGTTACTTTTGCGCCGCGTAAACTGTTTGATCTTTATTGTTTTAATTATTCGATTTCTTGACGTAAAAGTTTATTTATATGTATAAATCTATATATTTATTGTTCTGTTTTGCTACTCAGGGAGTATGGAATCTTCACTTTGTTACAGTGATTTAGTTCCCTTTTTGGTTCCTGCCTACTCCCCGAGTTGACTCTATGTGTTTGTTGTTGTTGTGTTTCTGGCAATAAAGAATAATAAGAAGAAAAAATCATTGCAATATTTTGAGCAATAAACTTAACATAAAAATAAATATTCTCTCTCCTCGTATAAACCAATTTAACCCTTCACCAAGTAAAGGCGATTTCTTTTGTTGTTGTTTTTCATGTACTTTCATGTAGGATTCTAATCCACCATAACATGCACCCTCAATTTCAAGTCTATTCATGCTCATGAACAGACAGCTCAATATTAAAAAATATACAACTATTGTTGTTTTAATTACATTTCTGATGATTTCATACTATAAATGAATTGTATTTGTATTGCAAATTATTGCTATAACAAAGTTTTAATTCTACTGTAATTCTTGTGTCAATAAATATAAAATTATAAAGAATGCATGTCATCGTTGTATGAAAACAGCATGCCAAAAACACCCATTTAGGGGACAATTTTACATTTTTTGGTTAGTGTCTCCTGAATAAAATACCCCTATCCAAGAGACACATATTAAAGGGACACTTTTTGGGCCCCTTAATATGGGTAGTCCTATTATTCTATATCATTTTTAAACCTAAAATAGGAGAAAACTGCAAGTGTTAAAAAAAAGGGCTAAATTCGGGAGCCTCTGCTGTATATGTAGACGCCTTCACCAACTGGGCCATTGAGGCTTCATTGCGAATACAATATGACTCTCTTGAGGATTTGACGACTTAAAAAAAATAATCATGATATGATATCTGTATACATGTATCTATATTTAGGGAAAGTATGAACAATAAACAACAATAAATCAATATAGTATGTAAAACTAAATATAGAACGAACTCATTTTTGCTCCCACAGATTCGTCTTTGGATGCTCCAACTGAACCAAGTGTTGTGTGCGATCCCGGACAGATGTCGGTTTATATTCCCAAGGTATACGTGGATGATATGCCTGCACGCAAGTTCATGCTCCACGATCCATCGTGCCGTGGCCGTGATTTTAACGAAACTCACTTTGTAGTTCAAACAAGATATGATGAATGCGGATCCGTGTTGAAGGTACTGTAGACTAAATTAATAGTAGGAATATTACAAATAGTGTGTAAACCAAAATGATGTCGTACTTGTTTCATTTACGGTACCTTTCCCAAAATATATTGATGTGTGCAGTGGCGTAACACCTACCGTATATTCTCCAGTCTAAGACGACACCCACCCCCAGGTTTGAAAATATTTTTGGAATTTGTCAGGCGTATAGGACGACTACACACTGTTGCTATGTTCTACTGTATCTCGCTGGCTGAAAAGCAAAAAGACTAGGAAAAAAATCAAAAAAGAGGCCTAGAAATCAAGTTAGGGGGAGTGGAATGTTAGAAGCAGTCAATATAGCCAGATATCCTAATTAATCCGTCCTGGTCACCCTAAGCCCTGTTGACACTTGATTCTTCACCTGGTATACAAATGGCGGCCATTTTTCAAAATGGCCGCCAAATTTATCTAAAATGTGCATATAATTGGAACTAAATAAGCTACAGATATGATGTTGGTGTCTAAAATCATAATTTCTATACAAGCAACAAACCAGACATATAAAATGTCACTCATGCCAGAATGGAACATAATTAAAAAAATAGGTGTTTATTTGTTTTAAAATATCCGCAAAATATACTTAAAATGTGTATAAAATAAGAATAAGTATATAAACTCACCAAAAAGTAGTCGTGTTTGGTATCATTGGAAAGCTCTTCCGATGCTGAATAATGTATTGCAGTTTATATCAGAAACGTTGTAGTGTTTCATGTATTGTCCCATAAGTCCAATTATGGCATATCATATTAAAATAAACAGGACCCATTTGCGTAACTCGTGAGCTCTCGGATGGCGGGGGGGGGGGGTGCACTCCTACTACTACTACCTAACACAGTACTACCAAGCCTTAAGTAACGCATGTGCCTTCTGGGCGAAGTCCGAGTCCAAATGGGCCCCGGAGAGGGCCCTGGAGAGGGTTAGATACTTTTACTCACAGTCACACTGATACTCAGCACTATCCTACAACGCCTTAACAATACGCTTTCTAGGGAAACGCTAACTTCCTCCATGTCCAAATGAGTCCCTGAAAGGCGACGGGCCCCTACTTACTACTACCGAGCAATCTAATAATACAACCGCTTTTGACAAAATATTTTCTTTTAATTTTTTTTTTAATGTATGAGCCCCGGACGGCTGCATAACTACCCACCTTAAAGTCTGCCTCCGACTTTAAACATGTCAGTAAATAAAGAATAAAATACGTGGTTATCCATCATAGTAGGCCTATTATTAAATATTATACACAGCATGTTGAAATCGATTAAAATAATGTATACATTAAAGGCCTACTAATAATTCAGATATTCGGATGATAAACGCCTGCAACATCATCAATTGGACCTTAAAGGACGATCGGGTCATTTTATTCAGATTGGCCTTATCATGTTTCAGAGCAACATAATTTGTGGTATTCAACTAAGTTTAAGAAACTATCTAACTGTTCATTAACCACGCAGCTTAACTCCTTACAAGCCTACCTCCGGACACTATTTAATAGAAATGAACTAACTGAAACTGAATACAAAGAAATTCGTCCAGTATCAACCATGCCTGCTAGAGCCCATGGACTACCTAAATTACATAAAGATTTTGATAATATTCCACCCCTAAGACCTATTATTGACACAACTGGTACTTGTTATTATTCAGTAGCTAAGTACTTATCAAACTTATTAGGCCCTCTAACGGTTAATGACTTTGTCCTTAAAGATTCTTTTGATGCTGCTGACCGCATTAAAGCTATACCTAACAATTTATATAATTTAGGTTACCGTTTTGTATCTTTTGA